AGTTTTCACATTATTATTTACAGTAATACAATTGTTATTTATTATAAAACGCTGATATAATAATTATGTGTACTACTACTACAAATAGCTGCAAGAAAACATATGAAATGTCTTGATAATAGTACTACTCAAAACAGTATTGTAAGATTATTTATTAGAGAAGTACTATGAAGCCTAAAATATCATTCTATATTCAATAGCTACTAAAGTTTTGATTGAGGCCTAAATATAAGTCACCAGGGCCTACAAAAATTTTCAACAGCTCCTACGACGATATTGTATGTGTGTGCACGTCGACGCCTCCTAATGCTAATTAACGCGCACACAGGCAGCGCCCTTTGCGTGGCCTTGCATACCGCAGCTGAAAATGAGAGCAAAATGAAATTTAAGCGGCGCTTTTAAGTACGATGTGTAGTCCACATATAGTGTGTACAAAAGACAATGCCGATTTTAGCCAATGGGGGCCGCCTTCACTGCGCTCGGCAGCATTTTAGCGAATCGACGCCGCCTTCGCTGCGCTCGGCAGCCAGTAGAACGCGCGTATTAGCGTGAGTTTTATTAACCCTAGCCGCGGACGGACGTACGGACGGACGCAGACCACACTCCACTAGGGGGGTAAGATTCGTGCTAACTGTAAATCGTGCATAGATTGCACTTAATATTGTGCCTTTCATGATTTTTGGCAAAACAGACTCTCAGAGGTAGTAAATCGAGGGTCCGATTTCAGCACGGGGTCAGAAATGGGTAGATATCTGACCTGAAATGCAGTTAGGGTTAATGTAAACTGGTGCTGTTTAGGAGAACTCAATCCGTTATGCCGACATTCAGCGGCTAATATGAGTGGTGAGCGGGCTTTCCATGGACGTTCAGTAGCCAAAATCAATGGACTGACAGCATTACTTGTCAAATACAGCCTAAACTGCCATGACCTACTCCGATGACTTTCGTTGGAGAAGTGTGGTACTGATTCACGTCTACGGTGTTCCTATTGAACACGTTGCTGAGCTTCTGGGACCAAAGGAGAGAACGCTACGCGGATAGTATGCGCTGTTTTTAAAAGGTGGAGTTGTCAACGAGCACTGTGAACGGCAACAACTAACGGGCTGGCCATCAGAAGTTCTACAGGCAGTGGAAAAATATGTTCGAGCTCACCCAACGTTCTACATCGAGGAGCTGCGCGAAAATATTATCAAGCATTTTTCTACACTTAGCAACGTATCGCCGTCAACGTTGTGTCGTGCACTAAATTTCGATCTTAATTTGAGTCGTAAAGTCCCCTAGAAAAGGCGGCACGCGAAGCTGTTCCTGCTGAAATCAGTGTATACCGTCATAAATTGCTGTCACTTTACTCTTTCGCTGAGCAGTTGGTTTTTCTCGATGAAACGGCGAAAGACGGCCGCCATGCTTATCGTCAATATGGATGGTCAAAACGAAATACGAAGGCCGTAGTCAAACTGCCGTTTCGACGTGGCAAACGTCTATCCGTGCTAGCCGCTCTCGATGTTCACGTTTTTTTTTGGGTGGGAATGGACCGAAGGCACATTCACCCGCGAAAAGTTTCACGAAGCTTTTCTCCGTCGAGTGGTACCGAAGCTAAACCCATGGCCACTTCCTCGTTCTATCGTGATAATGGATAATGCAAAAATTCATTGCTACCCGGAGTGACAAGCGGCGATTCATCAATGTGGAGCACGATTAATATTCTTACCTCCATATTGTCCACAATTGAACCCCATTGAGCAATGCTTTGGCCAGCTAAAGCGTTGGCTACAAAGGTACGCCAATTTGGTGTTTCCACTGTATCCAGAGCAGGTTTTAGATGTAGCTATGCGTGCATGTACTCGACGTAGTGAGAGTGGCTGCTTTGGAGCCTTTCAGCACTGTGGATATCTTTGCAATGGGCTCAGGGAACAAGTATTTCATGATCTGATGCAGACAAGTGAGAATGCCGAAGTGTGTTGAGTACGAAATTATTCTGGGATTTAATGTCTTTTAACCAAATTGCGCCTATGTCTCTTGCATTTCTTCATCGTCTAAATGGTCGACATCTTCCATGGTTGGGTTGGTTGCAGGTGTTGGGTTAAACTGGTGAAATATACCCTGTGTGAATATGTCATGATCTGGTAGCCCAATTGCACGTCTTAATGAAATGACGTCCACCTCCACAGGCATCCACAGTCCATTGAATTTCAGTGTCACGACACCAGTTTGCCTTGTGGATTCAGCGGCATCGTCTTCACGGCGCATTGCTTCACGCGTCTGGTCTAATGCAATGGCTTGAGATGTCGTATTATCCGAAGGAACTTCAAATGCTGTGCCATCAGGCCGTCGAGCATGTATAACGTCAAGATGATGAGCTGTGATTGCACCAAACGCAATAGAGTTGGTAGCTTCGTATGCCATTCTTTGGATCCTTGCATTTTGTATTCTCTGTGCAGTTGCGCGGTGGAACTGCTCGGGTGGGGTCGCTCGCTGCACGTATAGAAATGCCTCAAACCGAAAGTCACCAATGCGTGCTAAACGTATAGCCTCCACGGGCCAAGGCTGTATCGTGCTCGCCCCTGAGTCCCCTTGGACCGACAGATCTGACGCGACTTGACTTGATGGTTCAGTTTGCATCACCAAACAACAATGAAATTCGAGTGATGATAGTTGGTGCTCGCCGACGCAGATCAGATAATGGGACCCTAGAGTATAGTAACAAACAGGAAGATATGCACAAATGTAAACGGGAGAGACTATACAATTGCCAAATTATCATTATCACACGCATCTCTTCCGTACCATTCGCATGTGTTTGTGTGGACTCTCCCAACAACTGTGTACACCTCAGCTGCAAAATCTAGCTAAGTTTCCGCCTGCATACACGACCGTATACATGCACGCCATAAGTATAGTACTCTATCAGCCGGAATACACTCCACCCACCTGATGTTCTCGATCACCAATTAATGAGAGCTCGTACGTCTATTTGCCCGCGCTACACGTGACGTTCTTTCATCTGCACCCTCTTCATCACTCTATCGGCATGAGTGGTCTCCTTATAAGCAGTTTCTTCCACCATCCTTGTTTGTTACGAGCACCTTGCTGCAGGAATGCACATTACAGCGTGGTCAGTCACTACTATGGCATTGCACCTATCTGCATACAGCAAGACATGTCCACTTTCGTACTGGTACTGGGCTCGCCTCACGCTGCCGGCAACGCCACTTAGCCCCCTCGCCTCTCTGGGGTTCTCTCACTGGCTCCAGTTTTGCGGTTTTATAGTTAATGGTGAGACTAAAACGGGGTGTAAGGTCCAAAATGAGGAAGCCTATCCTGAGATGAGATCCAAATTAGTCAAATGGGCTCGTCCGAAAAAAGTAGCTAACAGGGGCAGCAAAAAACACGAAATCCACAATACATGTAGTGCTTATATTTTTTTAAGATATTAATAATTCTTGTTCTAATACACTCCTGGACACAATTATACGGCCATCTCGTCGAGTGCCCATAACTCAGTCAATTTTTATTATTTGACGGTGTGGTTTTCACACAGGTTGCAAAACATGCTTCAAAATAGCAAGGATGTGCTAACGCTCGCGGTTTTGCACTTTATAGGGAGGCTCACATACAAAAAAGAGATTTGTCAGGCTGGACACAATTTACGGCCACCATCGGCCCAATACAAAAACCAATATAAAATAAAACATGTGTCATTTTGACTGACTAGAAATTTGTATGGGCTGAGTTTGTGAGGGCGATTAAATGGACACTAGGGATCGAGAGCTTAAATTAGTTGCATGGGGGTGTACACAATACTGTTATATGTAACGTGTTGCACTCGCACCTCTGCTTGATCAATATTGATCTGCTTGATGCATCGCGCTCCACGGTGTGCAATCGTGGTCACCCCCAAACGGACCCCGTGTATTTTGCGGCTGGTCTTCCGTCTGTGCAATCGTGTTCTAATGTAATATCGTCCTCCGTAGCTCGGGGAGCTCAGGTTTTACACTGGTATCGTTCTCCGCGGCTCTGTGATTTTCCGTGTATAGCTCCGCGACTGCGTTCTCCCATGGCATAGTGGCCCAGGCCATGGTATCTAGTTATCTTGTGGTGTCCCGGTTGATCTGCCGTTTGTGCTTCGTATTTTACCGTGCTTCGTGGTCTACCGTGTTGTACCGTAGGTGAGTTTATTTCCGTGCTCTGTAGCAGCTACGTGTTCTAGCCCGGTTTTAGGTAGGGATTCTAACAGAGTCCGTGACTCTTAGTGCTTTCATAGATTTACATGTTAATTGCATCGGCCCGCTTCCGTGCTTTGTAGCTCTGTGTCCATATTTGTTTCCCCTCCATCGTACATACTGTTTCTTACTCCCCTACAAATCCAGTTCGATAAGCTCGCACCTTCTCCTAGGCTCACGCCCTGTCCTAAGCTCCAATACAACGCACCTAAACACGAAAGTAATTGTGACCAATGAAAAACGTTTATTTTTAGCCAATCACTTTTTCTGGTGATTACGCGGATGTTTGTTGCGCTGGCGAGGCTTCCAGCGACGACGGCGGTGATTAATGCGCTCCTGGACAACACGCCGCGGTGGTTGTGGGGGGGCCATAGCGGCGGCAACTAAGGCCAGGCTTTGTTGGCGCGAATCAGTGGCTGGCTTGAAAATCATATGTTAATATGCTTGTTTTTGCTGTATCGGTGTTTCTTGGTTTTTGTATACTTGCAGGTGCCCGTTGGATTTAAAACTTTGTTAGCAGAATATTTATATCTTTTGACATATGTGTGCGAAATTTCAGGTGCACTTGTTAGGCTAGTTTTTTTTTCAGGAACCTCTATACTAAACCCTAAACCCTAAACCCTTATGGCTTGGCAACGGCTGCCATCGGGTGT